GTATGGCTCAGCAGTTGAGTGGCCACCTATGAATCAAGAAGTTGCTGGTTTGATTCTCAGTCAGGGCACATGGCCCGAGTTGAGGGTTTGATCCCCTGTAAGGGGCATGCAGGAGGCAGCTAATTGGTGTTTCTTTTTCACCAATGTTTATATCTCTCTATCCCTCTCTCTCTAAAAATCAATACAAATATATTTTTAAAAATTAGTTAGATCTTCTTTAAAGCATTCCTTTTTTTTTTTTTTTTTTTTGGGTCTTGGGATGCAACAATAATATGAAAACTTGCACATTAAGATCTGCTTTGAAGTCTTGTTCCCTGTTTGTAATTTAGCCAAACTGTAAATAACCTGTTGGATTATTTTGAACAAACAAACCAACTGAGTCAGTTTAAAAAGCAAAAGTCACCTATTAAAATGGCTAACATTCAAAAAAGTGATAACAGCAAATGCTAGCAAGAATGTGGAGCAACAGGAATGGTTATTCGTTGCTAGTGGGAATGGAAAGCAGCCCAGCCACTTTGGAAGACAGTCTGGCAGTTTCCTGTGAAGCTAACATAGTTTGACCGCACTATCAAGCAAGTGCACTTTTTGGCATTTACTCAAATGAGTTGAAAACAAGTCCACACATAAACCTGAACATAAATGTTTATAGAAGCTGTATTCATAATTGCCCAAATCTGGAAGAAACCAATTCCTTCTTTAAAAGTGGTGAATGGATAAACAAACTGTGGTACATCCATCCTATAAAATATTATGAGCTATCAAGCCTGTCCCCCTACTTCAGAAGCCAATCTCAAGTAGTGGGTCCCCAGGTTCACACTTAATGTCCAACTTGGACATAAATCAGGATTCCCGTGACCTTGTCCTCAGATTTGACATGTACTAACTCAGAGAACTCAGGGAAACACTTATTATCTACTAGAGGCCCAGTGCATGAATTTCATACATGGAGGTGGTGGTGGGGTGTCCTTCAGCCCAGCCTGCACCCTCTCCAATCTGGGACCCCTCAGGGAATGTCCAATTGGGATCAGGCCTAAACCAGCAGTTGGACATCCCTCTCACAATCCGGGACCACTCACTCCTAACCAATAACCTGCCTGCCAGCCTGATCACCCCAAACTGCCCCCCCTGCCAGCCTGATCGCCCCCCAACTGCCCCCCCCCCGGGCTGGCCTAATCACCCTCAACTGTCTCCCTTGTCAGCCTGATCATCTGATCATCCCCCTCTAACCATCTCCACCTTGGCCACCACCACCATGGCTTTGTCCTGAAGGGCATCCAGAAGATCTCCTGGAAGGTCTCCTGATCTATTTAGCATATTACCCTTTTATTAGTATAGATAGGTGGATATATGACATTATATATTTGGCTAAACCCATAGTACTATACAACACAAAGATGAACTCTAATGTAAACTCTTGTTAATAATAATCCATTGATTATTTGTTCAACAATGTGACAAATGCATCACACTAATGCAAAGGGAAACTGTAAGCAGGGGAGAGAGGGAATGTTCTAGACTAACTGCTTAATAATCTGCAAACCTGAAACTGCTCCAACAAAACAAAGTATATTAATTATTTTTTAAAAAGAAAAAATTTGAATAGTCAATGAGGTTGGCTGTCAAACTAGTCAGTGAAAACAGTAACATAACATTTACTGAGAGGAATTTAGTACAGAAAGAATCTAGTTAAATCATTGGTTAATAGTCCATGTTTTATCAGAACTGTCTGCCATGAGACCCTATCAGAAGAAGCTATGGTCTCCATGCAATTAGGAGTAACAGATGAAAGAAAGGCTACACTGACATAAACCAGGGGCAGATATAGATAAGAAAGATAATGCTACATACTTTTAAACTCAATGACCTTCTCCTCCCTCTCCCCACCTCAGTCAAGTCTTGTTTTATTCTCACAACATTTATTCTATCAGAATTCTGAAATCTCATTATTTTTTTGTCCAAATAGTAAAAACACACTTGGATGCCCCATCAAGAAATAAAGGCATAAATAACAGTTTATGTCCATCTAAGATGTGCTAGCCAGAGTCATGCAGAGAAGACAGGCTGCCCTACATTTTGTCCTTTTCATTCTATCCTTCCGGGCAAGTTACCTCCTTGCATCATATTCGTTTTCAAATAGTGCTGAGAATATTTCCATCCTGGATGGTTTGTAATATTCTACACACTCTTGTAACTTGCTTTTTCTGTTTAACATCTTTCCATGGGAGACAGTATAGAGCTAGAGTTAGAAGGTGGCAGAAACTGTGCCATGAAGGAGAGTCCAAGCTTTGAAATTATTTGGTTCACATCCTGGCTCAGCTGTGTGATCCTGAGCAGGCTACTCAGCCTCTCTGCTATTCCAGTTTCCCATCTATAAAATGGAAATCGAAACAGTAACTGCCTCTTCCTGGGGCCCACTATGAAGCTTCAATGGCTTCACAGATATTAATCGCTTACAACAGTGCCAGGCACTCTGTATCAGGGTCAGTAAAATTGTCCCATGAAGGGTCAAATAAATAGTTAAGGCTCTGTCGGGTCATTTGGTTTCTGTTACAACCCCTGCATGATGCCTTTGTATGAATGAGGTGGTGGTTCCAATGAAACTTTACCGACCCTGAATTTGAATTTCATATAATTTTCACATGTCATGAAATATTATTCATCTTTTGATTTTTTCAACCATTAAAAATATGTAAACACTTTTAGCTCAGAGTTTATACAAACATGGGCAGTAGGCTGGGTTTTAGGGCCATCATTTGTGGACCTTTTATCTAATTAATAGAGATTAACATGTCTTTATTATCTTACTATATATTATTGTAAATGGCTGCTTATAACAAGATTGTTTGGATGTCCTATAATTTACTTCATCCCCTACCGTTAGAATTTAGGTTGTTTCATGTTCTCATTGTATGTCACCCTCCAATGAATAGCCAGGCAAAATCTTTGGGCACATTTTTATTATTACATCCACATCCTAAAATGTGTCTATTGGTAGCAACTAAATGGCTGGCAGAGCATCTAGAAAGAAATAGACTGAAGAAATAGCCTTGAAAATTAATCTTTTATAGTTATAGCAAATTTCAAACATGTTAGAGAAGGAGCTTTATAAATATAAAATATAATCATGTACATAGAACTATGTACCTCATACCACTTTAAGCCGTGTGTGTGTGTGTGTGTGTGTGTGTGTGTGTGTGCTTATACTGAGTGACAAGATTATTATGATCTCTGAATGCATAATAATCTGGCCACTCAGTGTGTATACATATATTAGAGGCCTGGTGCCTGAATTTGTGCATGGTTGGGGTCTGGCCAACTTGGCTAGGGGGAGGGGACATGAGTGGTTGGCCAGCCAGCCTGCTGGTCAAACTGCTGGTGGAACTCCTGGTTGAGGGGACAATTTGCATATTATATAGGATATACACTGAGTGGCCAGATTATTATGTGTTCAGAGGTCATAATAATCTGGCCACTTAGTGTGTATGTATATATATATATGTATGTGTGTGTGTGTGTGTGTGTGTGTGTGTGTATATATATATATATATAGTCCTCAAAACAATCCTAGGAGTTATCATCATCATCATCACCATCATTACCAGCCCCATAGTACAGAAGAAGAAACTGAGACCAGAAAAGCTAAGTGACTCCCCCAAGGTCACAGCTAGCTTCAGCAGAGGCAGGATTCACACCTGGTCTGTCCAGCACTGTCACCTATGACCTGGAATGCTGAACTGCCCCTTCACCGGTGAGACGTTGATCATGTAACTGTAGTGTTTTGTATATTTAGATCATGTTTGGCACCCGTGAAGGGACCCCAGGCTCTAGGAATGGGCACAAATCCCATCCCATAATGGGGCACTTGGGTGGAAACTGTGAATGCCCATCTCACCTTCCTCTTGAGTCCTCCAGCCCTCCCCCTCCTGCCAACTTTTCATGAATTTGTCCTGCGTGTCTTACCCACATAGCTGTCCTCTATAAACTGTAAAGATTGATTGGAGCTTACTTTCACATCTTGTTTTCCAATTTTAAGGTCCCAACTCGACCTATTCGGTGGAGCTTCATTTACAAGCGAGGGCCCTGCACCACCAGGGGAATGCAAATTTCGGGCATATGCTCTCCTTTGAAAACAAAACCGTGGGCCACGTCCAAAGTCTCTCCCTCGAGGGCTGGCTTGGTCCGGCCCCGGGCGGGCCCCGAGGGCGGTGTCCCGGGTCCACGGGAACCAAAGCCTCCGCCGGCCGGTTCGATGTGAGCCGCGCGCTCTCCGCGCTCCGGTGCAGAGCAGAGGGCGCCCGTCCCGGGCCGGACTTAGGCGCGGGGTGGGGGGTGGTGGGGGGGTAGTCGTTCCACTTTGCGGGGGAAAATGGAGATGCTCGCTCCCCTTTCTTCTCATTTCTTCTTTCTTTCCTACCCGCGGGACTCCGCTGCTAGAGGTGTCCCCGGGGGGGTGAGCGCCCGCCCCGCCGCCGGTCCCCGGGCGCCGCCCGCACCCGCACCCGCGCTCCTGACCAAACAAGGGCAGGACGGAGCGGCGAGCGGAGACGGGGAGAGAGGAGCGGGCGTTTCAAAGGGATCGCGGCGGTGCCGCGGCGGCGGGGCGCTGGAGGAGCCGGGAGGGGGGCCGGGAGGAGGGCAGGGAGGGGGGCCGGGAGGGGAGCGGGTGGAGGGCGGGGGCTCCGCCCGCCGTGGGGCGCCGGGCGCGTGCGCGGTGCGGCCCCGGCCCGTGGCCGCCGCCCGCCGCCCGCCGCCCAGTACAGCGGAGCGGCCGCGGGCGCGGGGACCCGGGAGCCTCCGCACCCGCCGCACCTCCGGGGCTCGGGCGTCCGGGCGCCCGTCGAGCCGCCGCGCCCTGTGCCCCGCGCGCCGCCGCCCGCTGCCCCGAACTTGGGCCGGCGCCGCCCGGGCTCGGCGCCAGGGACCCGCCAGGTAAGGAGCGGAGGGGAGGGCAGCTGGCACCGGAGCCCGGCTATTTGCAGCCGCGCGCTCCCGGGCTAAATCGGGATGCGAAAGTTGGATGCCTGCTCCACGGGGAGCAACTTTGCGGGCGCCGGCGCCCCGCCTGCTGCTCGCTGGCCGCGCCCCCCGGGGGGGGGGGCTTCCCGGTCCCTCGAAGCCGCTCTCCTCCGCGGGGCTGGGCGCTGGGCCTCAGGACCCTCCAGTGTGTCCACTCGGGTTTGTGAGCGCCAGCGTCCCCGGGTGCCCGGGCCCCATCGGGTGCCCGTTCCCGCGCTCTGCCCCTGGCAGATCCTTGGGGAGCTCGGCCTTTGCTCTGCCCACCGGGCTCCCGGGGTTCCCTGACCCCGAACCCACTCCGGCTCCTCCACCCGGACGGTGCGCTGGGTGGCGGCGGCCCGGGCGGGGCGGGTGCGGAGGAGCGCGCTGAGGGCGCATCGCTCCTGGCCCCGGAGCTGGGATCCAGGAGAACAGTGGACACTGACCCCCTTCTTTCAGGAACCAGGTGAGCCAGGGCCCCGGGAAGCGTGGATGGCTCGGGAACCCGAGATCCTCGCCACCTCTACCATCCCACCTATTCCCATCCCCGTGCCCTCCTTAGCCGGGCTTTGGGAAGCCGGTTGCTGGCCACACGAGTCACAGAAATTGCTTGTTTTCAGGAGTGAAAAGACTCTTAGCGTCATAATGCCCTGTGGGAGATGTGGAAGGGTTCCGTTGGAATGACAGAGTGGATTAAATAAGTAGACTAGCACGACTTTTGCTCATTGTCATCTTTTTCATTTTTGTAGTTTGGTGGAGGGTTGTTAGTTTCACCATTTGTCTATTTAGCTTGAAAAACACCTTTTTGAAATCCGATAGATAAACAAGACTTTACTAGAACCAATAATTTTAGGAATTAGACTCCTAGAACTAATGGAACTAAGAAGTTTTCTTAATTTAATCGAAATGACACTGAAAGTTTACCATACTCATCTGCCTCATTAGACCCATTCATTCTCTGGATAAGGATAGTTCAGTGTAAACCGCTAAATCCACTAATACAGATCAAAGGAAGCTGCAATCCGCAAGATCCTATCAATATTTATTGACAATAGGTAACTAGCATTTCAAAATAGACATACAGATAAATATATAGAGACAAATAGTAGACAATGAATATATAAGTAAAATTATTTATAATATATAATGTTAATATCATACCATATAATAAATACATATAGATACTTAAATGTATGAACTGTGTGTGTGTGTGTGTGTGTGTGTGTGTGTGTATATATATATATATATATATATATATATATATATATATCTAATAAGGTGTAGTGCATCAAAATATATTATGAGATGATCTCAACTTTAAAAAACTTGTATTATTATTTCCCTGGTTCTTGGGTCAGGAGATTGTAGTTTTCCTGTCATTTCTCTTGGACCAAACATTGGTACTTTTCGTACTGCAGTGAATTACTTGGTAACACAAGTATCATATAATGAGGTGAATGTGTGTGTGTAGGGGTGTGTGTGTTAATTAACTTATTATACCACGGTGTATTAGAGGCGAGGCACAGGCCGTTAATTTGAAGAGGTTTGAGACCTCTAGTCCAGCTGTCTCTGTTCAAGGACTCTGACTCAACCTCAGGAAGGGTAGCCATTCTCCCGTCTTTACTGCTGAGGCTTGGGGAGGCTGAAAAGTGCTTTCTAACTGTGTTCCTCATTGTTTGTGTCCCATATAGCTTTCACCTCTAGCATTCTCTACGTAGATGAATATGTCATTGACCCTGCCTCCTGGAGAACATAGGGTAGTTAGAATAAATAGGACAAAGGGAGTGAAAGCACATTCTAAGGCACAATGGAAATGATAGTTGTTGGCTTACGTAATGCTAACACATAAGCCGACATAGACAGTAGCTTATGAGTGATACCACTCTCCCTCCTGCAGAAATTATGAGGTTGATACTGATTTGATTCCCAATGAAAGCAAACTTTGTGTAGGTAGAGTTACTAAAATAATAATGTCCCCTATCCTAATAGGCTTCTGGTTTTATGGGTTCAAACATTTGGAAAGTAATTGAATTTTTGTCATTTCTTTTATTTTTTGCAGAAAATTAATACTAAGTCAACAATTTCTCTTGTATTTATGAGCTATTTCAGAATTATGTGAAGAGATCTTTAGATGACTTGATCATTTCATTCAGTTTGTGAGTTTGTGTATATGTTCTCTAATCATCTTAAGAGATGTGGAATTCTTATACATTTGTCTAATAATATATTTTCAAAATGCCCAACCTGCACCAATTATTTTCCCATCTAAAACCTTTAATATGATGGGGGGAAAATTAATGGAAAAACATGGTTAATTGCATAACCTTATTTGGAAAGAAATACATATTTTAAATTAAAGGTATTTTCAGTTCCCATTTGGAATTCTTCTCTTGAAATAGAATAATTCACCTATTCTGTAAATCTACATAGTTTTTGTCAGGGACCAATTTGCATAATTAATAATAGAAAGAGTTGTTTAAATATCAGAGATGGAGGACAGGTAATATGGTCAGAAAGTAGTGCCACTTTGTGTAAAATACTTATTTTTTGAAATGTATTCACAACATATTTTAATATTAAATAGTTCAATGTATATTCACATCCTGCATATAAGTAAAATGGAAGTTTTCTACTTTTCAATTTGCAAGGTGCAACCAACTAGGGTTTTATGGGAAAGGAAGTAGAGATTTAAATTAAACACTGAAAGATGGAGTAAATGTTATATCTTTCTGTGTATACATAAATAATTATAGAAATGTATTCATTATGTACATATAGGTAATGTAGAATCTATGTATTATACAGTTACTTCACAAAATAACAGTGGAGCCTTCTAAATATCCTAAGCCTTCATATTTAAAAATTAGGGCATTAGTTTTTTAAAGTACCGTATTTTTCGGACCATAAGACGCACTTTTTTCCCCCAGAAGTGGGGGGGAAAAGTCCCTGCGTCTTATGGTCCAAATATAGCCTACACATATACTTTAAAAAAAAAGTTTTTTTACTTGCCCAGCTCTGTGTGCTCTCTGTGTGCTTGCCCGGCTCTAAAATGGTTCTAAATGCTGCTGTTTACTTTACAGGGTTGATTACATGTGTTTATGACTGTGATGTTGGGTTTTAATTCACATAAAATATTTTAGGACACTATTTGTTTCAAAATCTTTTTTTCTTCATTTCCCTTCTCTAAAAACTGGTGCGTCTTATGGTCCGAAAAATACGGTATTCAAAAAATAAGTTATTCCAGTTTTTGTTCCTGTTTTTAGATTTAGTTTACTATTGGAAATATTATGAAAGACTATATTAAATAACTTTTTAATTGCTGTAGTTTCTGCACATTGATTCTCTTTCAGACTAGCTAATTCCACCATCTCTTAACCATCATGTATGTGTATATACAAATATGTATATTACAGATATATATATCTACACTAATAAAAGAGAAATATGCAAATTGATGATACCTCCGATACGCCCACCAGCCAATCTGGAGTGAGCATGCAAATTAACCCAACACAGATAACTGGTTAATTTGCATACATAGGTGTGCAGAGGCCATGTGGGGTTAGACACCTGCTATGAGAGGGAGGGTCGGGGGAGTTGTGGAGGGAGCTACAGGAGTGGTGCTCCAGCCAGGGCAGAGATGACTCAAGGCTCTGGCCGGAGTGAAGACAAATGTTAATTATAAAGTCAAATGAGGAATTATTGTCATTATTTATTAATAACAGATAAGGATTCAGTATGTAATAGAGCTTGGATTGGGACCTGGATCTGTCCAATTCACAAGCACCAGAGAAGTCTATTTACCAACATTTGGTTCACAGAAATAATTTTGGTATAACATCTTTGGGGATGATAAGTACAACCACCGTTTTTATTATTGTTCTATTGTTTGTTTTTACAGGAATTTTCAAGATGAATTATACTGAGTCCAGCCCATTGGCAGAATCGCCTGCAGTTGGTTTTACACCTAAGTTAGAAAGTATTATACCTGTGCCTTCCAATGACACCGCTTGTGAAAACTGGAGAGAAATACATCATCTGGTTTTTCATGTAGCAAATATTTTTTTTGCAATTGGGTTGGTTATTCCAACTACTCTCCACCTCCATATGATACTTCTTAGGGGGATGTTAGCTATAGGTAAGAAACCTAACTGAGATTTTACGTAGCTTCTGTAACTGTCACCTAATGAGTTTTGCACTGGGAGCTTTAGAGAATTCCCTGTCAGGTTGATAGCATACCAAAAATATCTTTGTTATTGACTTAGCAGGGTATCAAGTAACTTAGACCATAGGCATTTTTATAAGCCATTCCCTTTTTTAAAAAATATATTTTATTGATTTTTTACAGAGAGGAAACAAAAGGGAGAGAGAGCTAGAAACATTGATGAAAGAGAGACACCAACCAGCTGCCTCCTGCACACCCCCTACTGGGGATGTGCCTGCAACCAAAGTACATGCCCTTGACCGGAATTGAACCCGGGACCTTTCAGTCCATAGGCTGACGCTCTATCCACTGAGCCAAACCGTTTCGGTTAAACCCTTGTTTTAGATAATCACAAAGATGTTTTCATGTGTTCTTTAGATTTCCCAGATATCAGAGAACCTATTCCTGTGTAAGATTGTGGATTTTGGAGCCAGATTTTATGCTTTGAATCCTGGTTCCAGCACTTGCTAACTGTATAACTGGAGCAAGTGATTTAACCTCTCTATACTTCAGTATCCACGTGAGTCTAGTAGGGTTAAAATACTAGTAATACCTCCTCCTATGGTTGTTGTGAGTATGTGTGTCTGTGCGTGTGTACACACTTGACTTTCAATAGTAAGTACTAGATAGTCTTCAATATTATTATTTGAATAGGCATATACTTACTATGTATATGTATGTAATGGGCAGAAGCAACGTTAAGAACAAGAGCAATTACCCAGACACATAGTTTTAAATCAAAAAGTTTTAAATAAAACTTTTATGAGGGGCTCCAGAAGCAGATTGAATTGATTTACATCAAAATACTAAAACAATTAAATTTGTTTTTGGTAACCAGTGATTCTTTTTGGGGGGGCATATTTTTATTGATTTCAGAGAGGAAGGGAGAGAGAGAAAGAGATAAAAACATCATTGATGAGAGAGAATCATTCATTGGCTGTCTTCTGCAGGCCCCACACTGGGAATCGAGCCCACAACTCAGGCATGTGCCCTTGAGTGGAATCGAACCTGGGACCCTTCAGTCTGCAGGCTGACACTATCCACTGAGCCAAACCGGCTAGGGTTTAGCCAGTGATTTTTGACAAATTACTCTTGTGATTATTTCCCTAATGATTCATTTATTCAGGTGCATTTTTGAGCACCTGTAATTTGTCAGACAAAAGATTGAAGGAGGCAGTCTCCCTTCTTAAGAAAGACATGCTTTTGGGGCCAGAGAATAGATGGGTGGCTAGTGCCGGGGAGAAATGGAGACTGTGATAGGCTTAGAATGAAGGTGGAGCAAAGTTCCACTGAAGAAACCACGTAGGAGCTGGCTTTTGGAAGATGAACAGGATTCCTTTGAGTGTGAGTGTGTGTGGTATCCAGGTAAAAGACACAGGAGATAAGGCATACTTAGGGAGAATGAACACTAGCTCATTGTGCCTCAAATATATGAAATATGGTATGGAATGGCCAGTGAGCTAATATGGAAGGGTAGCTAGCTTGTGCAACTTCCTCGTCTGTGTTACTGCTGAGTAAGATAGGGATTGCAGCAGGAGAGCAGAGTGTTGAATGGGAAAAACAAATAATATACCCTATAAAAATCAAAAGCAAAAAATGAATTTGAAGACAAGAGTTTTGGAGGTGGACTAAGGAGATAACTTAACACTTTATAAATGAAGAAACTGAGGCCTGGAGAAGTTAAATGACTCATTAAAACTAACGCTGGGAGACAGTGGCCTAACCAGGACTATAGTTCAGGTTCCCCAGCTTCCCAGCCAGCCCTCCCATTAGGTTATCCTGTCTCATTTAAGTAATGGTTTACATTTTTCCAAATTTAGCTGTGAAATACTTAAAGAACATTTAAAGTTTTACATTTCATGCTGCTATTTTGATGCCCCATATTATTCTGATGGGAAAAAAATTGCAAATGAATAATTTTTTTAACATGGGAGGTTAGCTTTTATGTGTGTGTCATTGATATATTTGTATATTTTGGTTATTTTATTTTAAATAAAAAGATATATATTGATGATCTCACCAAAAATTTAATCCAAAGAAGCTATTGATATTTGATTTAAAGTAAGAGACTTGATAAGAAAAACTAGGAAGATTCTCAAAGGTGAATAGATAACCACCAAATGGTTAGAAGATATTCAGATGGGTAAAATAGTCAAACTCACCAGAAAGTATGCAAATGCAAAATATAACTGTACAAATTATACAAAATTCCTCACTATCAAACTAAGGTTTTCAAATTTTATAATATTGACAGTTTGATACTCACATTCAAACTAATAGGATTATAAATTTAAAAAACCTTTTGGAAAACAATTCTTCAATGTCATCAAAAGCTATGAAGCTCATTTCCTTGATTTACTATCAGGTAAACCTACCCCTAAACAAACAGTCACAAAATCAGATCAATTTTTACATATAAAGATGTTTTGGCTACTTATCAAAAATTACACCGCAAACAAATATCATCTGTCCACCAATAGGGAGATGGTTGAATAAATGATGGTCTAATCAATTATAGTCATTAAAAACTACATATGCTACCTTATCTCAAAAGGTTGCTATGATATTTAAATAAAATAAATATTTCTATAAAGATAATTCTAACTCCAAAGGACTAACCAAATACCAGCAATTATTTTCCTCTTGGAAAAATTCAGAGGACACTGTTTTGTTATTTTATTTATTGTCCATAGGTTAGTGATAATAAACTTACAAAACAATCAGTAGCTTTCTGTAATCCAGACTGCTGCTTACACTAATATGAATTAACCAGAGGCCCAGTGCATGAAATTCACGCATGGGGGAGGGGGGTTACTTAGCCTGGCCTGCACCCTCTTACAATACAGAACCACTGGCTTCTAATCCCTCTGCCTGCCTGCCTGATCGCCCCTAACCACTCGCCTGCCTGCCTGATCACCCATAACCCCTCTGCCTTGGCCCCCTGTTGCCAAGGCTTCATTTGGAAGGATGTCTGGAAGGTCGTTAGGCTATTGGGTCTAATTAGCATATTATGCTTTTATTATAGATGAGTCTTGATAACACTTAGAATTAGAATAGATTTATTTTGAGTACTTTAATTATGTATCTTAAAAATAAAAATAATTTTAGTTTCACCTGCCAAAAGAAAAACCACCTACATACTCAGAGACTTCTAATATAATGGGGAAATTGCTGCAATAAGTAACAGAGTATGTTTTTAAATTATATATGGTAGTTCTGCCATCAGGTAACAATGCATAAACACTGTAAAGAAGTATTAAATATCAGATTCTAAAAAACATTTTCTAACTTTACAAATTATCTGCAGCAAAGCGTGTTTTTCTTTTTGACATTCAAACCAAAAAAAATGAACATATGATGTTTGGCTTAGCTATTTCTAGAATATGTTTGGTTTATTTTATAATTTATTAAGCTTCGGGCTAAAGATGTCCTAAACATCTAACATGTAATTTTGTTATCCCACAGGATGCTCCTTTTACATCATGTGGGCCACACTCTACCGATGTGCCTTGGATATTGTGATCTGGAACTCAGTGTTCCTCGGTGTCAATATGTTGCATCTTTCATATCTTTTGTTCAAGAAAAGACCGGTAATTACTAAAAATTAATTAGCAAGGAAGAGATTTTTAAAGCTTTTAGAGCACTTTGTTCAGACTTGAGAATAAGCATCTAACATCATTAATCCCTTCAATATCATTCCAGATGAGACTTACTCTTTATATATGCCTGAAAGTGAAACATTCGGATACTATGAAATGTGTTCTACAGATGGGGTGTTTTTTATTTGTTTGTTTGTTTTTTGGTTCTTTTTTAACTTTTTAAATCATTAGGGCAGTGTAGACATGAGACAAATTGATAGTATTCTCTATTTTTTCTTCATCATATAACTTCATTATTTTTGTGTGTGTGTGTATTGATACTGAAATGTTACTTGGGAATATCTTTGCCTATTTACAAAATTATAGGCAACTTCAATAAATATATTAGCGATTTACAAATACCTTATGCTATGTTTTTCTTGCTAATTTTAAAATATAATGACTATATTTTTCCTTATGCTCAAAATATTCATTTAAGGATATCACCATTTTTGGTGAGTTGTCATCAAAACACTAGGATTTTAACTTCTTTTAAATTCTGACTTATCTTGCTGTGTTTCCTTGGTTATACCAAGAACAAAAAGGTGTAGATAGAACTGGAAAACAGCAAGGCTCCTAGAATTCTCTCCATACTTGTTTACTGACTGTCCAAAGCACACCCAATACGCAGAAAAATAAAAAATACAGTGCTTGCCCTTGCCCTGAGCGTATGCTCAAGGCCGGAGGTGTGTAGAAAACAAGACAATTCCAGGGAAATTACAAGTGATATACGCAATAGACATTCCATGAGATGATAGCCCAGCCTGTTTTCCCTAGTGCATTGCTTTTCTCTAGGTTATGCTATAAACAACCTGAACGTCTCAGCGACACACACCAGCCACAGGTTTTTTCTCTCTCCTTATATGTGGACTCTGGCAGCAATGTGTCAGCCGTGACTCTCTTCCTTGTGTCTCTTCATTTCGGGGTCTCTGCCGAAGCAGCAGATTCTGCTTGCACATGCATTCTCTTAGCAGAGAGAGAAGTACAAGAGACCCAGTGTCTCTTAAAATTTCTGCTCTGAAGGGGTATATGTCAATTCTGTTCACATTTTATTGGCCATCGCAAGTGACACAGCCATGCCTGATAATGTGGGGGTAGGATGGGGTGAGGGGATGTATAATCCTCTTATAGGGGATGGGAGCAGCAAATACTTGGGAATAATATTACCTACCACACTTATTGTTGTATTCCCTGTTCCTGTCAACCAGGATTGGCACATAGTAGGTGCTCAAAAAAAAACTAAACACATTTGATGACTGAATGCTTTCAAAGAGAAGAATTAAGAGGGCTTCATGGAGGAATTGGGACTTGGGATAAGACTTGCATGTTATGAAGATGAGTCAGTAGACTTCAGTTCATATGTTCATTACTGTGCTACTCCGGCTAGTGTACATACTGCAAGTGGGACAGATATGTGAATAAGTTGTTTTAAACACATTACTAGCACTCCAGAGAGGAGGAGGGAAATGACAGTAATAATGGGGATACAGTTTCTGAGTTTAAGAATTTGCTGGAACCCAAGTTTTGAACATAAGGTTCAGAAGTACTTGATGTGATGGCAGCTCCCAATGAGTAAGTCACTTAGTATCTGTGCTTTTGTTTTTTCTCGGACTATAAGACTACTTTTCTGAAAAATGTCAATGCTGGTTCTTCATTGCAATTAAACATCAGGACAAGTAGTCTTCTGGATGTATAAGCTTCATAGTGTTGGGATGGAAAATCACTTGAACCCCAGAGTTCATTGACATGCAGCCCAGTTTTCCCAGACGAATGCTGGGCCCCAAAATGGGTGTGACCTGGGCCTTGGTTGTCTCACAACAAAGCAACTCGGTCATTTTGCTTTTCTCTTCCTCCAGTAGCCAGTCTTGCTCACCAGTGGGTTCTCTATTCTACAGGTTTTATTTTAGCTTAGCATAAAACTGCTACACTGAAACCTTTTTTTACACCCTTCACTTTGCTTCAGAATAAATAAATGAGAAGCAATGTTTGCAGCTGTGGGTGATTGTTTTCCTGTATCAATGCATTGAATGATAATTACAGTAGATAAAAAACCTAATGTATGTATTTTCATAAATGTGTTTGTACATTGATTCCTATTTTTGTTTATTTTCTGCTAAATATCTCAAAGTTAGTGTAATTTCTGTGAAACAGTATTGTTCTAAAAGTGAAAAGGTTTTGTGTTTATAGAAAATGCTAAGATTGGGAAGGTGAATGCTGTAATAACATTCACAACCTCCACAGTTGCTTTGTAGCAGCTGGGGAGAGGTGTGATCGATAGTGCAAATCTTCCCCATATGCTCTCTGCAAAAATGCCCTTTTAGCATCTAAACCGATATCATCACTTACCCACTGTGTGAGATTCCACTGACTGAAATGCGGAACAGTGAGGGTCTGCATTACAAATTGTTCTCAAAACAGTATCTGGACCACAGAAGCCACTGTTTTCACATTGCTGCATTAGTACAGCATCTGTCATGGCTGCATTTCAGGTCAAGATAGAAAAGGAACTCAACGGCATATACCGACGATTGTTTGAACCACTCCGAGTGCCTCCAGATTTGTTCAGAAGATTAACTGGACAGTTTTGTGTGATCCAAACCTTGACAAAGGGTCAGACGTATGCTGCAGAGGATAAAACCTCAGTCGACGATCGTCTGAGTATTCTCCTGAAGGGAAGGTAAGTGATCTTCTCATGGCCCCTGGGTAGAGAGTGAATGGAAGGGGATATCTATATATATAAAAACCTAATACCGTATTTTCCGGCATATAAGATGACTTTTGAAACGAAAAAAAGCCTGCTCAGATTGGCCAGAGTCAGAGAGGCGGTCTATTAAAAAAAGAACTGGTGTTGCCTTGGAAGTGGGGGGTAGTCTTATACAGCGAATACAGGCCTAAACCTATGTTTTAACTGTAAAATTAGGGGGTCGTCTTATACACCTGGTCGTCTTATACGCTGGAAAATACGGTATTTGAAGTGTCCCCTTGGGAGTTGGATCACTCGCTATGACGTGTGCTGACCACCAGGGGATGGCACGGAAGGAAGGAAGGCCCCAGGCAGCTGGGGAAGGGAGATGGGGAAGGGAAGCGCCAGCTGGCAGCTGGCAGCTAAGGAAGGGAGGCCCTGGCCAGCAGCCAGCAGCTGCTAGGGACCTTACCTGTGCACGAATTTCATGCCCTGGGCCCCCAGTTGTCAAATAATGGAGGAAGCGGTGGCAGACTTGGTTGATGGGGAACTTGCATTTCACAGCTGCATTTTGGAACACTCCAGAGCAGCGGGTTAGTTACCTGGAATTTGCTGCACTCAACCTTGCTGGTGTCAGGATTTTCAGTTGTGAACATTGTTCATCTTTTTTTACCTTTTACTTAAAGGTTAGTGAATCAAAATTGAAGTAGGTTTAAATTAGACATTAAAGTCCAAGAAACGTGTACATGTTTCAGAGGTGATTTTTTTTTTTTTAATATCACAAATATAACTTCTAAGAATATCAGCCTTCTAGGAAGAGACTCATGTATATCGTTCTGGAATAATCATTAATATCACCCTTTCTCTCTCGAAAGTTCATGAGTTTGAGTATGGTCACTGAAGGTATAAGAGCGATGGTAGCCTTTGAAAGGCACCTATGGGGGTCCATGCTAGAACCTGTCTTCTTTTTATTGTTGGTGAAATTTATTTTGAAATAAATACTTGTCTTTGGGAAGTACTTTTAATTATGTTAGTCATCTGTGGAGTCTTTAAAACTTTAGTGTAAAATTAAAACCCATAAGATTATGAAGATTTTAAGGATAGTCATGTTATTTTGTGAGATATTATGCATTTATTAACATTAATTTCTGTTATCAGAATGAAGGTCTCCTATCGAGGACATTTTCTGCATAACATTTACCCCTGTGCCTTTATAGATTCTCCTGAATTTAGATCAACTCAGATGCACAAAGGTGAAAAATTCCAGGTATGTTTTGGCATGGAGTTTTTGGAGGATATTTATTTACTTTATCAATTTATTTTAAATTGAGGTATAGTTGACATATAACATTATATTAGTTTCAGGTGTACAACATAATGGTTCAATATTTGTATATATATTGTGAACAAGTCTAGTTCACATTTATCATCATACATAATTACGTATCTTTTTTTGTGATGAGGATTTTTTAAAATCCAGCATTATTTTCAAGAAGACTGAAACTAGTTCATGTCTCATTAAAGTCCAAAGGATATATTACAGACAGACAGTTTAAAAAACCATGCTTTTTTGCAATGGTTTCAGCCATCCCCTGCTCCCACCCTGCCCGAGTAACTGGCTTGAGTAACTTGTTAAAGTGATGTGCTCTCAGTAGAGGTCTTAGACATGTTCACTGACTGGTTGCAGTGCTGTCCCCATGCAGCTGAGCTTGAGCTACAGAAGAAAGCAAGTGCTATATACCCGGGCTCCTTCAGTTTGCACTCTCATCTTGTGTGTGCCAGAGTCAGCTGTGCACTGAGATTTATGTTCATATTGTTATCTTCAGTCACCTCCTTTACAACTAGAACAGGGCCACTTCTTTCCTCTGACCTCCTTACAGTTTTTTCCAAAGCCCAACTTTTGTCCAGCGCATCCATTTCTCTGTGTCTAGTAGCAAGTGCTTTTACACAATAGTTCAATCTTACAGGATCCTGAAAAGAGGGGATTTGGAGAGAAGGTGGGAACTGAACCTCCTTCATTTCTAGAAGCAAATGGCCCCCTGTGAGGCCTGGGATATAACATGCATTATCATTTCTACTGAACTTCAAATTATTATATTTATAATTGACAAAATAAAGAATTCCTACTAGTAGTTACAGTTCTCTTTCTTCTTGGGGTCTGGAATTGGGATTTGGTAGTTGACAAATGTTCCTGATAATTGCTGTGAAGGCTCCAGAACATGACCCAAATAGAGGTACCACATAGCTGGGTGAAGGGTATAGGCATTCAGCCTTTCCAAACACCAGTAGGCTATTCTCTGCATAGAGTCTGGGGTAGCATTTCCTAACTGATTAATGGATGACAATTACTCGAGCATCATCCAACCTGTATCCTATACAGTTGGTTCAAGACTCCATCAGAGTGAGCCCTCCAGAGAGATTGTGCACAAAATGTTCCCATTGGCAGTTTCTCAAGAGTAAAAATAGCTGTTGCACATCTGTGTATGAGTACATCACCTCTTAATGAAGCAAGTTCCCAAGTGAAAAATGTCTCATGTTCCCATGGCCAGCGTCTTACTAATTGTGCCTATGGCAGAGGACACTTGAAATGGTCAGTGGTAACTATTCCACTCGGTACTCTTTACCTGCTAACCTGACTTTTCTCTAACTCTGATCTGCTAGTTACAAGTATTCTAACAAGGAGCTACTTCCTTTACATGTTTGTTTCAGTTTGTTCTTTGGCAGTGGTACTAATGAGTTATACAGTAGGATGAGAGGAAGGCAGGTGGACTTGCCTGTCCCTTGAGATTGCACAGCAAATGTTGTTCAGGGACGTGGGGTAACCGGAATGATAGACACAGTGGTAGAGCTGAGAAATAGATTCTGAACTTGCAGCTGCTCTAGACCAAAGTTCCTGTGAAACTGTTGTTTCTGGTTCTAGCCCATTCAGCAACTCCCTCAGACACCCTTGTTCGTGTGTATCGCCTTCTCATTATGTGAGGTGTAGAGTGGCTTGGAGTCTAAGATGAGGGGCTGACCCAGAACCTTGAGGAAATCACACTAAACCTGGCTGTGAAGCTTTGGTAGAACTCTACCTGGAAGAGATGATTCCTTGTCTTCCATTGCCATGTTTGCTTTTATTTCTTCAGTAAAATTCTTCACAAGAACTCAAGTATGGCTCTGCTGAGGATACCTGACCACCTTAAGAAGTGACTTATTCTACAGAAGCTTTAAATATTTCAATATTGATTTAGAAAAATCCCTCATTAAAGTGTGTTTTACTTGACTATTATGACAGGAAATCATTAACTAGCCACTTCCGACTTAATACCTGCTTTTATAAGTCACTCATACTTACTGCAGTGATAGCTTATTATTTGAATACTATTATTAAGTTTAAATTTAATAACAATTTAAACATGTTTAAAGAGTTTCTTTAACTATCTGTAAGAAGTGGAATTGCTAAGCAAATTATATTGTAGTATCATATAAGCACCGTTGCCTCCATGGAAATGGGGTTATTAAAATGGTTGGAAAGAAGTGAAATGCCTTATCTATAACCAGATACTATTCTCTTGGATGATTTCCAACTCCCCTTTTTAACTCCTTGTCCCACTGTTCATGCATTATATTTTCCAAAGTCATGGATGACATCTTTGTAAAATGAAGGCACCTCAACTTGACAAACACTTCCTTCAGCACTTAGGTGCCTGGCTGGACCGCTGTGAGTACCTGGTGCTCACCTTTCTTTAATTATTCCTGCTGCTATAGCGTATTATCCAGTCACCTTGCATTTACATACCAATACCCTACTGTTTCTGAGAACTCCCAAGGACTGGCTTGACCTTATACTTCTCATCCTATAAATATTATCTTTTTTTGTCATACATCTTTACTTATTGGCTTCCTCCACTAGAATATCAAGTTTATGGCATGTGCTTAGCTGGTCTTTGTTTGAGGGACTTTCAGTGGACTGTGAGCCAACCTTATGGCCACTTGGCCAGATTACTCTCTATTTGGCCATCTTGAAGAATATTGGTTAGGGATGGGGAGAGAATATTGGACATGCTGGGTGGGGTTTGGCCTGGTGGGAAAATAGGCCTGGGCTGAAAGTCAGAAGTGTTCATCCCACCACTAGTTAACATGTGTTCATGAATACGTTTTTTGCTGTTTCTCATTTGTTATCTGAAAAATAGGGGAGAATGTAACCTGTTTTATATTTAAGGCAGTTATGAGGATACATTTATATGATAGATAAAAAATGCACCTTAAATGTTTAAAAGTACAATCTATATATATAAAAGCCTAAAAGACCATTCTACCATTGGACTGGTAGCTATGATGAGTACTGACCACCAGGGGGCAGACATTCCACCCACTAGGTTAGCTTGCTGCTGGGGTCTGGCCAATCGGGACTGGGCATGACAGGCCGGACACACTCTGGAGCCTTCCTGCAGTCCCTCCCAGGCCCTGGATAGTGCACTGGTGGGGTACTGAGCCTGGCCTGTGTGTTCTTGCAATCTGGACCCGTTGGGATATTGGAGAGACAGTTTTGTCCTGATCCCTGCAGGCCAGGCCAAGGGAATCCACTGGTGCATGAATCCATACATGAGCCTCTACTACATATATAAAATAAGTTACATTATATTTGACTGTCATTCCCTAGTCATTCTCTACCGCTTTCCCCTGTTCTACATTTGTCAAATACTTACTGCCACCTGAGGGTGTCATATTTCATTTATTTACTATCAGCTTCCTTCACTAGCATGCAAGCTTCACAAGGTAAGAACTTGTCTTTCTTGTTCATCATTGTGAGCTCATTGCCTTGAACAGTGTCTGGAACTAAATACATGCATAATAATATATGTTGAAAGAATGAATGGATTTTAGTATTTTATGGAGTCACATAGCTGTTAACACATTTCTTAACTTCAATATATTTGGTTTTGGAGATTCCCACTTTTAAGATATTAAATAATTACAATTTCCCCCCTGGAAGTATTGACCTATTTTTTAAAGTAGTCAAACTCTTTGATTTGTAAAGATCAGATTTCAGCTTCTCTCCTGGGTTTTCCATTGTCTCTCTTAGTAGACATAAATAACCCTTTGTCTTCTGAAATAGGTTTAATTTTGTGACTAAGAGCTCCTGTGGACATATTTGCTGTGAGGTCCAGCTATTACTGCATATAAACAAGCCTTTATTCATTTCCTACCTGGATAAGCCTGGGGTTTCATGTTGAGATAGAAAAATGGTTCCTGCCTTCAACAGTATTTATGTTCATTTGCTAATTGCTTCACATGTTAAACATGCACTGAGCACCACTCTGTGTTGGACACAGACATCCAGACATGGAGGTGCACTGTCATAGCGACCAGGAGAGACAGGTGTGTCAGGATTCAGGGCTATGAGAGCACTAGCTGATGGAAGGGGACCTGCCTGGGAGGAAGAGCTTCCTGATACTAGCTTCCTTCACTCTGGAGAAAGGATTGATTTGAGGAATACTTGAACTCTCTGTAGTGCAGTTACAGTACTTTTACACTTTTCTGGGTCATAAGACTTAAGGAAAGGGTGTGGTTTCCCAGTGCTGATCTAACTGCGGGATCCCTGTGTGTCCCCAGTGGGCTACATTGATTAGAGCTAGTCTTGAAGGGTCACACTCAGTAAATAGTATGACAAAAAGACCCGGAGAAGGTCCCTTGTTGGTCATATTTGTTAGTAACAGCCTAGGCCCTAAAACTGATTCATGAGTCAATTTTCTTATCCTCTAGTGTGTGTTTGCAGACTTAGCTAGTGTAACTTGGCCTCGTGAATCTTACCTCAGTTTTTGTTTTGTTTTTTGCTTGAAGTGTATTCTTCAACTTCTGTGGTAATCTTCATGGTGTAAGGAAATATTTAGCTATAAATTCTACATCCAACTGGAATGTAGAATTGAAGGGGGCCATTCTTCTGTCCCCAGACCTCAAGAAACAATAAAACTTGGAGAATTTGCTTCTATTTAGTCTTAAGACTCCTTGGTTTTAAACATAATTTTATATATGGTTATAGAAGCTTATGTGTATGGATCTTATTTTAATTTAACTAATATGGTAAATCATTGCTATAATATCCACTAAATTATTTGACCCTTCCCCAAATTACTGTAGTCATAATTCATATACGTAGATGTACTTTTTTCCTTTTGTGTTTCATTGTCAGGTCACCATTGTTGCAGATGATAACTGCAGATATTTATGCTGGTCAAGAGAAAGATTAACTTACTTCCTGGAATCCGAACCCTTCCTGTATGAAATATTTAGGTATCTTATAGGAAAAGACATTACAAATAAGCTCTACTCATTGAATGATCCCACCTTAAATGATAAAGTAAGTTTTTCTGGGTGTGTTTATTTTGTTAAATAAATATGTACAATGAGGTATACCTCACTTAATACAACATATATTGTAGTTTCCTGAATTTCCATTAATTAGTCAAATGCTAAGTTAAGTAGGAATGCTTCCGGGACTCATTTTTCAAGAGTGAGGACATATTTTGTAATGATCACATTTGCCATTACGGAGTGCGGTGTCTCTAAATGTCAGGGGCCTCCATGGATGGCGAGAAGGGGCTATCCTCTTCGTAAAGAGTCTGTGAAACAGTCTAAGGAAGGTGCCTAGTGAGTGGTGTGAGGGAGTGGGGGGGCGGAGGTTGGGGGGTCAGGACAGTGGGGAGATTCTAGACTGAGCAATGCTGACGAACCCCAGCGAGCAGGAAGCTGGCATTTTAACCCTGGGGTCTCCCAGTCCTGCACATCCTCCTGGTCAGCCTCCTTCCCCGGAAGCCCATACGTGACTAGAGAGGTACAAGATGGAGGCCTGCAGCAATTTAGTTTGGGATTTCACAGCTATAGAGATCTTCACCAATTTGCAATTTGATCTTCATTCCCCCACGTTTACATAGAAGGAAATTAAAATGATCACAGAAGACAACTTGGAAAACATCGCTTCATGATAAGCACTGTTGTTCTTCAAGGGGCTATGAGTATAGCACTGTGCTCTCTTAAGTCATCTTGTCTATACTGTTTATCAAATTAGGTTGGTCCTTACTATTTTTTAAGATTAATAAATAGACTAATGAGTATATTAAATGTATTATCTATAGTAATATCCAGAAAATAAAAATTATAGCCGACATTCATTGGGCACTTGTACTTTGTACCAGGTAGACTTTTTTTTTTTTTTTTTCCAAGGAAAAGTAAATGCACTGATAGGGAATGCTACCTAAGTCCCATGGGTGTCAGAAATCTTGAAACTTTGCTTTCAGAAAGCCAAAAAGTTGGAGCACAAGCTCAGCCTCTGCACACAGATCTCCATGCTGGAGATGAGGAACAGCATCGCCAGCTCCAGCGACAGCGAGGACGGCCTGCACCAGTTCCTCCGGGGCACCCCCAGCGCGTCCTCGCTCCGTAAGTTAGCCCAGCACTGACACGTGTCAGGATTCCGAGGGATGGTACTGGAAATAGACAAATGACGACAACTCTGACCAGAAAAATAATTTGTTGGCAGCCTAAAGGCATCATTAAAAATCAGATCTTTGCTGATTATTTTAATAATATCAGCTAAAATCCAAATTCAGATCTCTTATTTCTGTTTCAGAACATGTTCACTGCTTTGGGCACCTGCTTTTTAAAATACTGACTGGTTCGCTGGAATAATGGGAACGTGTCCTTATGGTTTGCTGGGTTTTTGGCTTTGTTGTTTTCATGATTTTAATCCTAGCGAAAGATCCAGCCATGTGTTAAAAATAGTAGCAAGCAACTGCTGGGTGTTTTACTGCTGGCAGGTTATCTCAGTGTGAGGCCGGGTGATGGAATATCCCCGAAGATGAAGGAGGCCGCTCAACGCCCCTGTGCGTTACTCATTCACACACCACCAAGTAGTACGTTTTGCAAGATCTCTCCATAGTTTAGACTGTTTTAAGACATTTTAAGTACAACTGATGACACATGTTGAAGATTAGTAAGTAAAGTGAGAGAAGCTAGATTGTTTTAAGAATCATATGCTTAAAATTATTTTATGCATTATTCCAAAAATGGTAGTAAAAGAACTTCGAACAAATTCATGTGAAATAGCAAAAAGACAATGTCTCCCATTGCATAAACTAAAAACTACTACTATTTCCAAATGTATGTTAATCCAGAATAACTATTAGGTAACTATAGATAAACATTCGGCAAGCCTAAGTGTTTGTGTAAATGAGTAACGTTGGATGCTTTGGATGAACTGGATTAAGGATTTTAACTATAGTTTAAATGGACAAAGGATTGGCAAAGCCACATCATTGGTGTAAGCTCCCAAAGCAAAGTCTAGGCATTGAAATACTTTTTGGACCTAAAGGAGCAACACAAACGAGAAATTGGAAATGATTGTATTTTATTCTAAAGTTATGTTTTGAAAATCACTGTGGTTAACCAAGGCCTGCAGCCTACTATCGTGTTTCCTCGAAAATAAGACATCATCCAAAAATAAGACCTACTTACAGGTTTCCTTCTGAGTGAAATATAAGGCATCCCCCTGAAAATAAGCCCCCCCCCCCAGGCTAAACATGAAAGAATCAGTCCACTGATTCTGAAAGAAATGGAGTCACAAGAAATTCAGGAATTGGATTGTTATGATGATGACAATCCAATTCCTGAATTTCCTGGTGAAATTCAGGAATTGGATTGTGAACATGAAAGAATCAGTCCACTGATTCTGAAAGAAATGGAGTCCACTGATTCTGAATCAGTGGACTGAAAGAATCAGTCCACTGATTCTGAAAGAAATATGATGATGACAATCCAATTCCTGAATTTCCTGGTGAAATTCAGGAATTGGATTGTAAACATGAAAGAATCAGTCCACTGATTCTGAAAGAAATGGAGTCACAAGAAATTCACCAGGAAATTCAGGAATTGGATTGTTAAGATGATGACATGATTGTCATTGAATAAATGAGTAAATTCTTGATACTGTAGGATTCACAGTTTGTCTGGTTTGTGTTGACAACTACCATACTACCTTACCATATACAGGTAATAAATTTCCTTTATTTTCATTTAACAATAAATGTGTACCGTATTCTTCTTCATGGAAAAATAAGACATCCCCTGAAAATAAGACCTAGTGCATCTTTGGGAGCAAAAATTAATATAAGACACTGTCTTATTTTCGGGGAAACAGGATAGCATGTCAGATGTCCTGAAACAGTTTGGTGCTCAATCAGCATTTTCAAATGGACCCATCTTAGTTACATGTGTAGTGATTAATTACTACGAAAGGTCAGCAGAAAGAGAATTATAGTTAAATGTTATATGTGGATTATTTTTCCGGTAGAAGAGCTTGTTTTTGTAGTTCTTACTTTTGTTTAGTTTCTATAGTCTTGCTTACGAAGCACCGAGAACCAGTGGTATATAGCTTTCTTTTCTGTAGTATTTTATTGTATCATCAAAATATTTTGGGGATAAAAACATTTTAGGGGTTGAAGTTTATGTACAGTATATTGTTTAAGTAGAATTAAAACATGTTTTCAAGATTACCATCTGTATTGTACTCACCTCTGGAGACCTGTTTTCTGGTCTTGAGTGGATGGCTCACACAGGTGCATACAAACTAGTTCTTGCTCTAATAATTATCGAGTCTAGTAATAATTAATGTCGTTTTTAAACATTCCTTTAAAATAGGGGTGTCGAACTCAATCAGAGAAGGGGCCAAAATATAAAATCCAGCCTAAATCGCAGGCCGAATGGTTTACTGAACAGTCATAAACTGTCATTGTGATGGAAACGCAGCGGAGTGCAGTGATGACAGCATGGTGCGGGCCACATTGCAAGGCCTGGCGGGACGGATTTGGCCCGCGGGCCTTGTGTTTGACACATGTGCTTTAAAATCTTGCTTGGCATTGACTTGTATTGACATAACCTTCAAACACGTGGTATCTACAGAACGTGTGAAGTGCAATTAACAAGTTTTGCTTGAAAAAGTTTGTGTTTGGTTTGGTTTTTGTTGCAAAACTAGGGCTAAGAAGATGGCGGATGAAGAGCATATTCGGCACTGCATGCTTTACAAGTTCCAATTAGGAAGAAAAGCAAGTGAGGCTGCAAAAAACATCTGTAGTACTCTTGGTCAAGATGCAGTTAGCGCCAGAAAATGCCAGTGTTGGTTTGAGAAATTTCGCGAGGGAAATTTTTCGTTAGATGACAAGAGTGGTCGAGGCCGTGTGTCCAATTTTGATCAAGAAGCTCTTCAAGCTCTTTTGGTGCAAAATCCTCAAATTACCCAACAAGAGCTTGCGACAACTTTAAATTGTTCACAAAAAACAATTTCCAATCAATTGTGTGCACTTGGCAAAGTCCAAAAGTTTGGAAAATGGGGTTCTTCATGAGTTGACCGACAACAACCGTAATCAAAGAGTCACAATTTGCAGTTCGCTCCTCTCTCGTCAAAACCGTTTGCCGTTTTTAGAGCAAATTGTTACCGGAGATGAAAAATGGGTGCTGTATGTTAATTTGAAAAGGCGGCCTCAATGGTTGGACAAAAATGAGGCTCCACAGCCCACGCCAAAACCTGACTTGCATGCGAAAAAAGTGATGTTGTGTGTTTGGTGGAATTTTAAAGGAATTCTTCATTATGAACTTTTACCATCTAACCAAACCATTACAAGTGCAGTATATAGTGCCCAATTGGAAAGGTTAGCCCAAGCTTTAAGAGAAAAAGAACCCGTGCTGATTAATCGGAAGGGCGTAATTCTTCACCACGATAACGCACGACTGCATACTGCAAGAATCACTGCTGAAAAACTGCGCCAGTTGGAATGGGAAGTTCTCCCTCAACCTGCATATTCTTCTGATATTGCCCCTTCTGATTACCATTTGTTTCGTTCTTTGCAAAACTTTCTTCTTGGAAAAAAATTTAATAATGAAGAATGCCTCAAAAATGCATTGACCGAATTTTTTGCATCAAAATCACAAGAATTTTACAACAGAGGTATTAAAATGCTTCCTGAGCATTGGGCACAAGTAGTAGAAAACAACAGCAACTATATTGTTGATTAAATTTTGTTGTATTGTTTAAATAAATTCGATTTAAAAAAGTATTAGAAAACGACATTAATTATTACTAGACCTAATATTAGCTGTGGGCCTTGTGGGAAGTCCCATGACCTTTCTAATCTGACGTATACTGTCATATTTGGTTACAACTCCTGCTCTGTACCCTCCCCTCTTCCCTGCAGTAAATCATGAGTGTAATCCAAGCACTCCTGCAGGGCTAACTCAGGCTTCAGTGTCTGTGAAGAAGTGTGCTGCCCTTCAGAGCAGAGTCACATTTTCACTTCTCATTTCCTCGTTCCCTTGTCTAACTAGACTTTAGTACTTTGCTGTATGAGAAAAAAAGAAAAAAAGGAAGGAAGGAAGGAAAGAAAAGAGATGTGTGCAACCTACTTACATTGTTTATTTAATTATTTAGCCTCAGATTTATTATGCAAGATCTCACATATTGATACCAATGCATCCAGCTCCCTATGCATCATATTTTTGAGTGTGTGTGTGAATTACACAGCATATCCTTGTTCTGAATTTCTCGGCTTCCCTCCTGCGGTTTTAATGAAAGGCTTTGGGACCTGAGCACAACACTGACACAAATTATGAATTACTAATTCTATCACATAGTTCCTTAGGAACTGGTTAGCTCCTGTGTCTCTTACATGTTATCTCAGAACTGCTGAAGGCTGTCGTTTTTCATTTGCCACTCCCATCAATACGCCTCCTACTCTTCCATTACAAATTACAGTCCCTGTAAAACAGTGCAGAACCAACCTCCTAGGACTGCTAGGCTGAAGTAACAAAATTTATCCTATTTTGAGCATGTGATGGGTCTTAGTCAATGGTAGGTCCCTAAAAACCAGTGACTAAACTCTTATTATTCGAGTTTCTGACGTGCAAACGAACAGCCTGGTAGCTGCTGTCATGGTGCTAAAGGAGAGGAGGGAACAAACGTCAATTGACAGCAGCAGCTAGTGTTTTTCAGGTGCTCTCTGTACAAAACCACATGGGCTAGGCACTGGGCTCCTGCACAGAGGGAGGTGGGTTGGTGTTTGCTAGATGATGAGGCACTCACAGGCAGTCCCCCAGTCTCCATGAGGAAGAGGCTGCTTTCTTGCTCACGTGCACATTGAGTGCTGCTCCAGGCCCGAGTCCAGCTCACGCTGGGATGTGGGAGGAGCAGTCACTGTTGGGGTCACTGCCACTCATGGCAGAGGGCAGACAGTAGGGCAGGATCATGTCATGGCTCTCGCAGCTCCGCCCCTTCTGCTCATGTTCTCTGGATCAGAGAAGTCATTTGGCCAGAACCACAAGTAGTGAATGGAATCTTGAATCCTCCTGCAGGAGGGAGGGAAAGCAGGCATTTTGACAATAACAGGATCTAT